ATATTRGGTTTTACCAACATGTTGATTTGACAATGAGAGACTGAACTAAATAACATGCGATTTCTAAAAAAAAACTTTATTTTAAAATCATAAACCCATGATGATATTGAGTTGTTACAACCACTAGGGTTTTCCTCCCCACAGTGCTGTTGCCTTGCCAGTGATTTCCCAGTGTACTGCTATCACTTTTTCTTTAAATGTCACTATGCTTGTTTTTAAGCTTCCTTTTTTTTCAGATCATGTTTCTAATTTAGCAAAATAATTCTGAATTCTACTCTAGTTCTTCAGAACATTTGCAATTCCTCAAACCTTGTATTACCTACATTTTTTTAATGCATATTAACATGTTGGATGGCAAAGCATTAATTAGCTTAATATAGTTCAGGATATATCCCTGCAGGGCTCATCTGTAAAATTCTGTCAGATGGGTGGTCATTAAATCGCTATTCAGAGGGCAGTTTTTCAACATCTTGCATGATCATTTTAAGCTGATTTCAGCTAAGTGCTATTCCTCCTGTTTGCTTATAAGGATGTCCCATGGGATAGTATTAAAAGTCTTAATTGTAGCAAGCTACAATGCTCTATTTTTGTTACTCATTCAGCCTTGAATTACAAATGATTTGATTCTTGGCAAAAACAAATCATGGCTACTCTCAACACCTAAAGCATCTTTCTGCTGATTTTTTTCAGTGTTTTCTTTAATGATTTTTCCATTGCAGTTCTAATATCTTACCAGGTACTGAAGCTGGAGGCCCAAGCTTTTAATTACCTTCTTCCTTTCCTCTTTCTAGAAGTACAGGGACAATATTTGCCCCTCTTCAAACCTACCTGGCACCTTTCCTCATTTTCTCAAGGATAATTGCTAAGGTTTGGAGATAGCATGGCTTTATCCTTAGGTAGTTAATTGATCAAATATGTTTCACCTAAACTGTCTTTAGTCATTCCCTGCTTTGACCTAGGCTCTTTTTCCATGAATATCGTTACTGCAGTCTCTGTTATCTTTCTCTAAACAAAAGAAAGCTGGTAGGTGTGTTGGCTGACAGCCATTCTTCCTCTTAAAATAAGGGTCCTGACTATTGTTGAGGATTCTCCTTATGTATTTGTATAGCATTTTGTTCTTTACTTCCATGTCTTATAATGGGCTAGATCTTCCAACTAGGAAATCAACTGTTAGATCACTCATTAGAAATAACTGGTAATATTATATGAACATTAAACATTATACAAATGAGTTTCCATGGAAAACAGTCTTTAGTGTGAAGGTCATGGTCTTTGTGTTCTCCAGGAAGCTCCAGGASAGTGGACTAGATGAGTGCACGGTGCGGTGGATCGAGGGCTGGCTGGATGGCAGAGCTCAGAGGGTGGTGATAAATGGGGCCGAGTCCAGTTGGAGGCCTGTGGCCAGTGGTGTCCCCCAGGGGTCAATGCTGGGCCTGGCGCTCTTCAATTTGTTCATCAATGACCTGGACGAGGGCACGGAATGCACCCTGAGCAAGTTTGCGGATGACACCAAGCTGGGTGGAGTGGCCGACACTCCGGAGGGCTGTGCTGCCATCCAGAGGGACCTGGCCAGGCTGGTGAGTTGGGCAGAGAGGAACCTCATGAGGTTCAATAAGGACAAGTGCAGGGTCCTGCACCTGGGGAGGAATAACCCCAGGCATCAGTACAGATTAGGGGTGGACCTGCTAGAAAGCAGCTCCACGGAGAGGGACCTGGGAGTGCTGGTTGACACTAAGTTAACCATGAGTGAGCAGTGTGTCCTCGTGGCCAAGAAGACCAATGGGATCCTGGCCTGCATCAGGAGGAGTGTTGCCAGCAGGTCAAGGGAGGTGATTCTGCCCCTCTACTCAGCTCTGGTGAGGCCACACCTGGAGTACTGTGCTCAGTTCTGGGCACCCCAGTATAGGAAGGACGTGGAGCTTCTGGAGAGGGTCCAGAGAAGAGCAACCAGGATGATTAAGGGAATGGAACATCTCTCGTATGAAGAGAGGCTGAGTGAGCTGGGCCTGTTTTCTCCGGAGAAGAGACGGCTCAGAGGGGATAGGATTAATATGTATAAGTTCAGGAAGGGAGAATGCAGGGAGGAAGGGGACAGGCTGTTCTCACCGGTGCCCAGCGATAGGACGAGGGGTAATGGCCACAAGCTGAAGCATAAGAAGTTCCGTGAGGAACTCCAGGTGAGGAGCAACTTCTTTACTGTGAGGGTGACAGAGCAGTGGAACAGGCTGCCCAGGGAGGTTGTGGAGTCTCCTACTCTGGAGGTCTTCAAAACCCGCCTGGATGCCACCTTGTGCCACATGCTGTAGGTGTGCCTGCTTGAGCAGGAAGGTTGGACTAGATGATCTCTAGAGGTCCCTTCCAACCTTAAATATTCTGTGATTCTGTGTTCTTAAAGCTAATGCTGTTCTTCTAATACAAGTATAGAATTATTCTTTTCCTATTCTAGAAAGTACCTATAGGACAGATGAATGGTTCTGCTTGTGCTCCTTTTGATAGATAATGTTTATGCTCTTTCAAAGCTGGGCATGGCAGGCAATGGAGACTGAACAAAAAGAAAATTCAGCTGTAGTGAGCTAATTGGCATTTATGTTCTTCCTGAGATATCTAAAGGTATTGAGGTACCTGAGGAAGGGGAGCTTCTGTGTGAGCGAGAAAAGAATCTACAATTCTCATACGCTTTGAAAAAGCTGAGCATTCACCTGTGGCAATGAAGCTCTGGAACACATAGGATTGACTGATCGGCAATTCTAAAAATGGGATTTGATTTTTACAATCTCAAAACAATAGGAAAAAGGGAATAAAAATGTGCAATTGTGGAAAAGAGGGCAAAGAATAAATCAGTAACAGACCTGCTGAGCAGCAGGCTAGCTAGCATGTCTAGCTTCAGTATCCAGAGTAGCTAAGCAACTGTATTAGAGGTAAAAGAGGTAAATATACAATGAAATATCTATGTAACTCCGATTCAAAACTAGCTTTAACTCATAAGAAAACCATGGGATTTTATTTCTTAGGTGCCTATGGGAYTTTTAATAATGATACTTCAGCTTCTGGTAGGTGAATTTTTTAATGCTTTTCTGTTTTCCTGAGAAATTTGTACTTTTTTCATCTCTTTTAATAAAAAGATATAAAATTAAAGGCAATGGATGACAGAATAGCCTGGGAAAAATCAAAGGTCCCATGATGGTGCTGAACAAAGGGGAATGCTGCCAGCAAAAAGAGAGTCAGTCTTTTTTTAGACTGGAGTTTTCATAGGGATATTGCTTGAGGGCTGTTTTTCCTGCTGCAAACAAGCACTCCCTGCTACTGTAGAGGAAGACAATTGAAAACTATCCAAACATTGAGAATTGAAATGCTCCATTCCTTCCTGCGGAGATTCCACTSGTGAAATGATTCTGGTAAAATTTCCTTCACTGAACTTTGAAGCTTCTGCTCTGAAAAGGATGAGCACTTACTGGTAGGAAGCTCCTAAAAGCAACTTTTACAAAGTGAATCTCCAAGAAAGAGTGGAGCAGTTTTCCCCTTCTGACACCAGGCAGGATACAAGCTTGTGTGATCGTATGCAAAAACTGAGCAGGATTTAAGCAAAAGACTGTCTAGTGGAAGCTTGTTGTCATTTGTTTTATTTAGGGTACCACTTACAGAGTCTCTGTGAAATTAGGACCCACTCACTGCGTGGTGTATTACACGGACATTAAAAACACCACTCCTTGTTTCCAGGGTTTACAATCTGAAAATCCCTGGTGGATGGGAAGCGTTTTAATTTCCAATTTAGAGTTGAACACCTCAGGCTAAAGAAAGCAGTCCTGATTTCTTGTGAATTCCCAGTCTRTGGAAAAAGTCTGATGGTGCCTGCAGGCCTGGTCCAGCCTCTTCTCTAAGAGAAGGCATCTATGGGATAGTCAAAAGTTAACTTCAGCTTTCCAAGGTTTTTGATGGTTTAGCTGTAATTCTAACCTTATTTAACATCTGCTAGAAAGTGTCTCTTTACTTTCTGACTTGGGCATATTTTCTAAGACTTTATGTTGAAAATTATGGGAAAATGGTAATTTGATAGTAATTGGGGACTTTCTAATTCCTTCCCTTGAATAGGCAGAAATTAGCTCTTTAAACCACTTTGTGTTATGTGATTTGCTGCTGATGCTCAGCAACTGGAATGGGATACCGATAGCTCTAGCTATCAAGTTGACAGTGGTATTGATGGGCTCATGCACATCTTCATAGACACTCACTTAAGAAAGAAGCTGCTCTTTTCATTCTTGAGGTATTTATGTTGAATTCAAAAAAAAAAAAAAAGCCTTGCCATAATTCTGAAAAGATCTACTGTCGTAGGTATACTCCTTTGAAAGTTCTTGGTTAGTAAACCATTAGTAAATGGTTGGAAACCATTTCCAGCAAAATAGCATTTTCTTTCTTTGCATGAAGATGGATTTTTTTTTCCATTTCAGAGCTTTAGTAAATATTCAAAGTTTCTGTAGCCTCTTACTTGAAAAAAAATATATATTTGAACCTGTTGTCAAGAGAAATCATATACCTTAATGTCCTAGTTTGTCTTAACGTAGTTCACAKGCTTGCTTTGAAATCCACTACAGTTTTGGTGATGACAGCTTCTTGAAAGTATCACCATCAATCATGTTCATTTTTCTGGTTCTTATGTTATTGGTATGACTTCTACTCATCTACAGGAGCCAGCAAGTATTTTTTTATTCTTCAAGAGATTACATAGGTGGCTCCCTCCTCCGAGGGTAATTTGGGGTTGAAAACCAAAGGGCTTCTCCTGGTCCAGAAAACATTTCCATCTATGCTTGGAGAAAAGCTGGAATTGACTCGTATAGCAAATTTTAAACTGGTATCCTGGAATTGTATGTCTGTCAGTAAAACCATTTAATTCAACACTTGGCAGTCTGTCAGCACAGTGTGCCTCTGTGGGAGGATTGATATGGGAAGGGGAAGTGTCAGGCTTAATGAGTGTGAGGGGTCAGAACTAGGGATATTCCAAGAAGTTTTTTTTTCCACATGGAATTTCCTGCCTCAAGGAGGACAGGCTGCGCTGAGAGAATAAAAGGCAGCAGCAGAAGCAGAAGGAACACATGGTGCAGGCACTTCAAGCTGAACTGCATCTCTAAGACCATATCCAGCAAACTAGCAAAGGAAAGCAGCCACCGGAAAGTATCAGAAGACTTCTATAGCACCTGGCCATCACAAGGACAATCTGTGAGTATGAAGCATTTTGTTTCATCTCGTTGCCTAGTTAAGGGAAAATGGGACAGAATTCTTTGCTACTGTTCCTTAAAAGCTGTCTTTATGTTAAGAACAATTTAATTAATGGTTTCCCCAAATGAGACTTAAAAAAAATCACTGAGGAATTAAGTAGAACAGATAACATAGGCAGTATTTCATATTGAATTGAAAAAAAGTAGTATGTTCTATACAAAAGTCTCTCTTCTGTTTTTTCCTAGTTGTCTGCACAAAAGATAAAGCTCTCAAACATGGTTTGCTTGTGGTTCCTATCTCTTCTTGTTTATGGTAAGTGTATGTGTCTGTAGAAAGCTAGTAGGGTGAGGTTGTTAGTGAACCTATTCATTTGAGCTCCAAATTAAACATTTTTGAACACAAACTAATTAGTAAGAGGTTAGTAACTAAATATTATTAGTAGCTAATTCTTTTCCATAGAGAAACTCTGCAGTTTCAGTAGTGTTTCCCTTTTCACCCTTTAGATACTAGTGCTTTTGCTATAGAGCTTACAGAACTTTGTAATCAGGCACAGTTTTACAGACTGAAGTCCCTATATTTGGTGCTGACTTGCCTCTTTTGAAACTTGTCAGTTAATTGTGTATAAAATGCAGTTACTGTTTTATATAAAATATTGYATATAAAGTACATATTTATATGGTGTATAAAATGTAACTACTGCCTATGCATGTTCAGATATTGATAAGCACAGAATATTATGGTTTCTTTTGTATTTTCTTCTACAGAAGAAAAATTACCTACTTGGTATCTTCTCATTCCAGGTTTTACTATGTTGGAGGAGGTGAATTGTTGGACCTACCATTATTCAGACATAAATATGACCTATGACGAAGCAGAGACGTGGTGCAAAGACAGGTATACCAACATGGTTGCCATTCAGAATAAGGAGGAAATCAGCTACCTCAATGAGTTCTTACCCTTCAATCCGGGTTACTACTGGATTGGAATCAGAAAAATTAATGAGATTTGGACCTGGGTTGGAACTAACAAAGAACTGACRGAAGAGGCAGAAAACTGGGCCTTGGGTGAGCCAAATGGTGAAGGCAACAACGAGGACTGTGTTGAAATCTACATCAAAAGAGGAAAGGATGACGGCAAATGGAACGATGCACAGTGTGAGAAAAAGAAGGTCGCCTTGTGTTATACAGGTGAGACCCTGTGGAGATGATATAGTGGGATGTCATGTAGTCTTAAATATTTATCTCTCTGGCCCTGTAAAGACTTGTACAATTACCTTAAACACAGTTCCTTGAGGGCCTGTTTTTAGAGCTGAACCTGGCTGTGCTTTAAGAGCTATATTGATCCCCTTTACCTCTTAGTCMTCAGGATATTATATGCCTTTTCTAAGCAAGTCACCAGACCCCTTATATAATTGGAGAGAAAGAGGCTCTTTCAGAAAGTGATTTTTGATCCCATTTTTAGTGAGTTCCTCAGCCAGGCAAGAATTGCCCTTTTGGAGGCATCTCTCTGCTAATAGACCCCTGGAGTGACTTAGACACTATGGGGCTACAGCTAGACCAAAAAAATCCTAGTACGTACCAAATAAGAGCTGTAATTAGTTGGTAAACAAGTTACTTGTTGAGTAATTCTACCTTCACCATAGTCTATCGTTCCTTTTGCATTTAAATATTGCTAATATATTTTATTTCTTTTAGCTTCCTGCAACCCATCTCTCTGCAGTGGCCGTGGGGAATGTATAGAGACCATTAACAATCACACCTGCCACTGTGACCCTGGGTTCTATGGGCCTGAATGCGAGTTTGGTAAGATCATCCTAGCTACCTTTCCAAACAGAGAGGGGGTTATATTAACTAGAGTTTGGTTTGCTTGGCTTGTCAAATTACCTGCTTAGTCAATAACTCTGACTCTGTCCTTGTGTTTCTTTGAAGTTAAGACTTGTGACACCCTAAAGGAACCTGATCATGGGAGCCTTAAGTGCAGTCACCCACTGATGAACTTTGGCTACAGCTCATCCTGCACAGTTCAGTGTGAAAAGGGCTATGAGCTGACTGGAGTAGAATCTGTCCACTGTACCTCCTCTGGGGTCTGGTCTGCATCCCTTGCAGAGTGTAAAGGTGAGCTTCCCAGGCAGTGGTAATGAGCTTTCCAAATCATACATAAGTCTGTATACTTCGAAGTCACCCTACCAGTAGATACAAACTGAGATTCTGGCCTAGTCCTTTGTACTTAACTCTGAAGGGATAGTCTTACTGCRGTGCAGGGGCCTTTCACCCTGAGAGCATGAAATGGGCAGGACCAATGTCCCAGCCTTACCTTAGACTTCCTCATGAAGAAACTTTTTTGCATCCTGCCACCAGAGAATAGGGAATGGATTGCTTGATCCAGCTGTGACTGTTCACAATAGGCTAGTTAATCCTAACTGTTGTAACTAGTTCTTGAAGTGTTTAAYTTCAAATATGCTACCATTTGGAGTGTTACTTATCAATAAACATATATCAAAAGTCATGCAGAAAATTTTTGATTGTAACTAGCTGTTGTGAACTGCAGAGAAATCTTCCATTTTGAGATCCCCCAGTTCTTGTCCACCTCCTAAAATAGCAGGATTGCAGGTGTCTTAATCTCTACTTTATTTCATTGGATATGCTGCTCTTTTTCTTTAATTGTTCTAAGCTTAAACTCCATTTTCTTTTGTGCTTTCAGCTGTGACCTGTCCTGCCTTGGAAGTTCCTGCTCATGGTATTATGAACTGCTCCCATTCTTCTGAGGAGCTTACCTGGGGTGCTACCTGCAAGTTCWCCTGYGAGGAGGGATTTGCCCTGACAGGACCAGCCACCCTGCAGTGTGGGTCTTCGGGGGCCTGGGACAAGCAGCAGCCAGCCTGTGCAGGTACCTTTCTCTYTGAGCAGCTGGGGCTGTCAGCACTGGCATGCTGGATTCTTGAGGCATCTGTGCTGACTGCTGTTGTGATCTGTTGCAGCTGTGAGATGTGAGGCTATAACCTGGCCGGAGGAAGGCTTTGTGAGCTGTGACCATGCTCCTACAGATCTCACCTATGACTCGCTCTGTCGCTTCCACTGCAACAAGGGCTATGCTCTGCAGGGTCCATCCAGTGTCCGCTGTGTGGCAGCGAATCGGTGGTCAAGCCTGTTTCCCAAATGCAAAGGTAAGACTTYCTGGGTTGGCACTTAGTGGTTTGTTTTCACTGTGCAGCACTGAAGTCCCTGTTCCCTGAGGCTCTTGGCTTGACTCTGCCAGTACATGGGACTGACTCGCTGGGTCAGATGTAGTATCACGGCCCACAGAGTTTGGCTCCAGATAGGGARCATCTCTTGTCAGCTCTGCAAAGACTGTTTATCTTGGCCTGCTCTGAGATGAACTCTGTGCTTTCTTGTGCTTTCAGCGCTGACCTGTCCTGCCCTGGAAAAGCCTGCTCATGGTTTTGTGAACTGCTCCSATTCYTCTGAGGAGCTTACCTGGGGTGCTACCTGCAAGTTCWCCTGCGAGGAGGGATTTGCCCTGACAGGACCAGCCACTCTGCAGTGTGGGTCTTCAGGGGCCTGGGACAAGCAGCAGCCAGCCTGTGCAGGTACCTTTCTCTYTGAGCAGCTGGGGCTGTCAGCACTGGCATACTGGGTTCCTGAGGCATCTGTGCTGACTGCTTTAGAAATCCAATTAGCTAAAGACAGTTAGTTTTATTTAATAGCTAATAGTTGATTTACAGCTACTAATACCTGTAAAATGAGCCTGTTAATTTTCTCCAAAGTATTTGAGCCCTAAAATATTTTAGGGAAAGAGTATTGAAAGAACATTTGTTCTGGCAAGAGGATGTAAATTACTCTCTAATAATACAATGTATGCTTGCTAGTACAGAGAATAGGACTGAAGACAGGAAAGTCCTTAATGCTTATTAACCATTAATAATTCTTTCTTTTAGCTGTACAGTGTGAACCACTGAGCTCTCCTGAGAATGGCTTTGTAGACTGCTTGCATGGTGCTGGGAGCTTCACATACAGCACAGCCTGCCACTTTAGCTGTGCAGAAGGATGGAGCCTGAATGGTTCTCATGTTCTTGAGTGCAATCATTCAGGAAACTGGAATGCCAGTCTGCCCACGTGTGAAGGTATTTTATCTCTGACTAAACTCAGAAGTGGCACTGGGTTTTTCTAATTGGAGAAGGGGTATGGAAGAGTAGAACAGATATGTCAACCTTTTAGTTAAGAATTATAGTGCAGTTCACAAAGGAAAAAAAAAGTCTCAATATGCTTCTCAAACAGAGAAAACAAAACCCAAGGCATAAAAGGCCTTGGTGAGAAATCTTGATTTCGCMTGAAGAAAAAAGCCCCAAAGCTGTTTTTTCTTCTTAATTAAAAAAATACTGTTGGTCATTTGCTACATTAATGAATAAAAGACCTTTCTTAAAGAAGCAGAACCTTGTGGTTCCTGATAGCTTTTTYCCCYTTTTTYCCCCCTCTTTGAAGTACTTCTTGGCCGAAGACCTCACATGGCTCTTGTGTGTGATAAAATTAGAGCTTTTGTTAAAAGTCTGAGCCTTGCCTTTCCTTSCAAGGCAATAAGAGCTCTACTCTGACTTCAGTGGGAACATACATGAGCCTACCTGGAGCGCCTTTGCTTTAAAGTCTTCAGAGCTGAGCTTGTCAGTATTTATTTAGAATTTAGATTCTTGAATTGCACTGATTCCAGTAAGATTCCTTAGAGGAAAACACTCCAGAAGAAATCAAAATACAAATCAAAACAAAATATAAGACAAGCAGAAATTGTCATCTCAGGCTGGAGGTTAGGCAGAACCTCCTCTAGCAGCTTGTTACCTTGCTATTGCTTTGATAAAGGTGAATAAATTTTAGATCCTTCATGYAGGTGAAAAGCTTTATACTATCTTCTCTCAGCTAGTGACAAGCAGTAATTCAGAATCTTTAGGAAGAACACTTGGAAAAGAAAGGAGTAGGAAGGACTTCAAAGGCATCATATGTCTCAATCTCACTGTAACATTTTTCATCTTTTCAGCTTCTGAACAAGGCACCTATCTCTCAGTGGGCATTGCAGCCACAAGTGCCTCTCTGCTTTCCACAGCATCGTTTCTCCTTTGGCTTGCAAGACGTTTTCGAAGGAAAGGTGAGCAGCTGGACTAGATTGTATGTTTTATTTGTCTGATTGAACTTTTTACTGGGGAGTTGAGTAGAACYCTTCAGTCTTCTGAAAAAGAGGCAATTGCTATATTAAGCCATTCCAAGATTTTTTTTTCCAAGAAACCTATATATGCAACTCTTGGTTTTTAGATGACAAATCAATAAGAATAAAAATTTTTCTTAAAATAAGAATTATTAGASAGAAAAAAACAGTTCTATTCATTAGCAATTAGTGCCAGGAGAAATGAATGGGAGGCTGAGATGCAACTGATGACAATGTAGTGCAACTGGCTTTTAGATTGGTTGCTAGATCAATGTGTTTGTCAACTATTCAGAAGAGAGGTTTAGAAGAAATTTTGCCTGGAAAGCCTTTCATCTTGAAATGCTAATTTTTTTCTTCTTTTTCTTGCAGGAAAGAAATATACACCTTCCAGGTAAGCTGTGTTTCAAAAAGCAACATTAGGACACTGCAATAATTTTCTACTAAAATGCATTCAATGTAGAATAGCTGTCACTAAAGTATCTTTTGTTTSTGTTTTTCAGTAGCTGTCAGAGCCTCACCATTGAAGGTAGCTTCCAGAGTGCTGGTCATATCGTCTAAATCCAGACATTTCAGGTAAGATCATAAGATATCTGTATTCAGTTTCTCTTGCTGATAATCACAGAAGCAATTGGAGCTTTAATTATCTACAGCTGCAGAAATGGGCATTGTGCTTTGTGGTACCTAATACCTAGCATAACATGAAAGTTTCTAAAGAGACAAATTCACTGAGTCAGAAATGATTGTTCAGTTCAAAGGATGATTGTRCTAAGCTTCTGTCTATATGATATTAAAATACTTTTGCATGCTTTTATTACTTGCCATGTACGAAATAGCTCTGAAATGAGAGCAAATACAAACCTCTGCCAGCTCTCTGATTTAGAGGAATTTTGTTCTCTCTGCAGGAACTGAAGCCATCTCTACTTATGTCCCAGAGATTTATAGGAAACGAAACTGCATGCAGATCAGCAGCTGTCCAGATGTTTTTACCTCTTGCTGACAAAATGATTTACGTTGTTTTTTCTAAGACATTTTGAACTCAAGCTGCCTGATATTTCCATTGAAGATAAACAAGCAGAGGGCAAAACTCTGGCCCTCTGGCAAAATGCAGTCTACCTTCAGTCATGCATTTGTTTAAAACTGGGAGTTTGCCATCTCTTTGGATGGGGAGTGTATACTAAGCTGCTGCTGCTTAAAGAGGAGGCTGGTTTCTCCTCTGAGCTACTTGAAGGTACTTAAATAAGGTGAAGACACTCATTATCTCCCACCACTTACTGTGCTGCTGGAAAGGGTTATATTTGCAGGGACAGAATAGCTGGAAAAAATGTTCATTGAAATACTTCGAAGCGTTTGATTTGGCTTGTTGCYGAAGTCAGCTCATTTTAACAGGACATCAGTGAATATGCCTGTAATCATATGGCTGGTTATTTGTTTGTTCTCTTGCATGTCCTAAAAGGATTTTGAAATTTAAACTCTTGTTGTAGTAGCACTAAGTATTAGTGTTCATTCCAGGTACTCTGGTTTATGAATGCAGCAAGTAGATCTGAAATCTTTTCATCCCAATGGGATTAAGCTCTGTAATGTCTTGTTTMTATAAATATTTAATTGTACATTTTGTTTACTGTGGGTATTTCTGTACTATTTAACTGTAGAAGTATTGTAAAATATCTGACCCTGGGTAGGTCTGTAGCCATTGATCTGGACCTGGATAACTTGAAGACTTTTTATTTTAGAAAGTTTAATGCCAGTATATTTGCAAATAACATGGAAGCCCTGTTTTTTATATATTACTTTATTGTATACTTGCATAAGAGCTTACTCATTAAGGTCTTAGGAAAAAACTTCAAATAAGTCTTAAGTTATGCTTAAATTATGATAAATTAGCCATCTGTTTGAGCTGGAATGTATTCTTGTATTTGTAATATTTAATAAAGTGTTTTAAATGTAATGCTCCCTTTCTGGCAATATCTTGGTGATTTGTCAGCTTTGCAGACGGCAGGAAGATGTGAGGAAGGTGCCAGACTGAGGACTTGCTCCCTTGCTTAGCTTCCCACTTCCCCTGGCAGCCAAGGAAAGGTTTGCCGGCAGATGGCACTGACTRCATGAGAGCCAGCCCAGCCAGAGCTGGCCTCCAAACTCCTGTCTTAGGAAGGAGGAACTAAGGGGGAAGGCTCACCTCTGTGTACCGTAAGGCAGGTGTCCCTGCTAGCTCCGAGGGACATGCTCAGGAACAGGAGAGCAACAAGAGAAACAAGTGGGTGACCTATGTGTTGAGTTGCCTGTGTGACCCTCAGCCTCATGGGTCTTCTGCAGCTCCCTCTGGAAAGCTGGAGGGCAGGGAGAGGGTCATAGACCTGTGGATGGAGCATGGCTCTGGTGGTGTGTGCTGACTCTTAGCAGTAGACTTCTGCTTTCCCTGGGGATTGAGCTGTAACTAAGAATGATCCTGGACTAGGTGTTGGCAATGGCCAGACACTGCTGTGGCTGCCTTCTCTAGCCCSTCATGTATCCAAGGAAGCTGAGCTATGGCCCTCTGTAGCTATGGGCAGGAATCAGAACTTGGTGATGCATGAGGCTTTGTGAGGCAGGACCCAAGAAGAACCACCAGGCTCTGAGCAAGGGAGTCTTTTGGGAGATGCTGYGGAGCGACAGCCAGGGCCCATCGCTGTTTATCCCAAACCGATTAGCAACYGAGCAGCTGCCAGCCCGTCCCCTGCCTTGACAAGGTGGGGCCCAACCATGTGAGCAGATGTAGAGCAATAATCCCTCAGGTTCCCTGAGGGGACGCAGGAGATTAGCCTGAAGCGCCCTGCTCTGAATCCTGGCAGGAGCTGTTCTGAGAGCTCAAGAACCACATGTGTCCCCTAGCCTGTCCTTCCTGGTGTCCGCTGTGTGCAGCCTCCTCTGGAGGCCAGCATGGCTCCCACCTGGCTGTAGTGGGGGCAGGTGTAGCTCATGCTYGTCCAGCAGATGATTCTTAGCCCTCTCCTGCACTCCTTTTTTTYCCCCCTTTTTTTGGGTCATGAAGTGCCAGCCATGGTGACATGTATCTTTGTGAAGTATTTATTTTAAATGCATGTGTCTGTTTTAGTGACCATGGCCTCAGCTTTTCTCTTGTTTGTTCAGGACCCTCTCTGGAAATGATGACCTTGAGATAATGACTGGGGCAGCATGTGCTGCCAGGCAGTTAGTAACCCCATTGTTTCACACCTGATTACAAYGTGGTGCCTTGCAGCCACAGAAAGAATGACAAGGTCTTTGCTGGAAGAACTTTCCTAATTTCCTGTTGCTCCATTTCCCTTAAATTCCCTATCTCTCACTGGGCCACTGGCATTGTCCAGAATATGAAGTGTCTKGCCTGGCATCTTGTTCTAGAGCAGATATCTGCTTGGGCTGTGACCGATGGGAGCTGTGAAGGTGACATTAACAGATGTCCCTTTGTAGATCTGCTGCACTGCTGTTTGGCAAAAGGATGGTTGTTTTTTTGTGGTGCAATTTAACTACCAGGTGACTTTAGTATTTTATACCTGCAGCTCAAAGAAGAGGAAACAAACTTCACACTAAAATCCTCCAAGATGGGTAGCGTTTGGCTTGGGCTTGGTGCCTCTGTATCTACTGTGTCCTTGGTGATATTGACTCAGGTTGTGCCTTCTATTTTCATAAGCAAAAGGCTGTCAGACAGGTGGTCTTCTACCAGGGCCTGGCTGGGGCTGCTTTCTAGAGCTCTGGTGTTCAGGACTTAAGCTGAATTCAGCATTTGACCATCAGCTCTAATCTCATGAAGGAGGGTTATTGTTACAGATTTTGAAGACTGCAGCTCTTAATGCTTTTTAATGGTTCTTGTGGAAGTCTCACTCAGTTTTCCCTTTGCTCTTGCAGGAAACCAGCTCCTTCCTCTTGGCTTGASCATGTCGCTAACACGAACAGGATACTTCAGCCCATGGGTCTGAGTTTCTATGGTGAGTCTTACTGTTACTTTAGCAGGGACAATATAGTGTATCAAATAAGAAGCAAAGCCTGGGTCATGCAATTCTTGTTAGGAGCAGGCAGCAGAAGCTACTGCACATAGCTACTGCTGAGGTCCTAAGCTGGGTGTACAGCCTCTCATGCACATCCTTAGGGTGGAAGAAGGAGGAGTGCAGGTTGGCTTTGGCCTGTGTGGTCAAAACTTGCTAGTTACCTGCTAGATAGTGAGTACCTGGCACCATTAGTCTCACCTGGGATGAGCAGACTGGGCCAGTGTAGTTCAACTGTGGCTCCAGGGGGGAGAAAGAAATCCACAATCCAGAAACTGCTTCCACAGCTGATGGTGGCCAGTGTTTTTTCCAGCTCAGAAAAGCCAGTGCCAGGAACAGGACTGTGTGCAAGAAACAAAAATTCAGCTTCAATAAGGCAACAGATGCCCCTAGGCAGCTGCCAGCAGATTTTTTTACCTGCCTTTCTACTTCAGGGAAGGACGTTCCCTGAAAAGCCCAACAGTTTCTTTGACTTTCAGCCTGGGCCAAGTGGGACCTTCATCAACTTCTCGCCTCACCAGCTGCCATGAAAGCAGCATTGGCAGGTGTGAAATTGCAGGTGACTTGCTTGCTTCTGGCACTCCTGTGCTGTCATTTTGGGCTTTTGATGGCCTCTGAGTGGGCTGGAGGAGGGGACCAGACTAAATCTGTGCCTGCTTCAGCGGGCCTGGCTTGTGGAGCACTTGGGTGGAAGGAAAAGGGTTAAAGGGAAGCCAGGAAGCACTTTGTCCAGGGTGATTCCTGGGAAAGGAGGGGCTGGAATCAGGCAGGGTTTTTCTCTTTGGCATCTTGGGAAATCAAGCCCGCTTTGGCCTGAACCAAGAGGGAAATAGTGTGGCTCACCCTGCACGAAGCAGTGATGTTCCATTTTCACCTAACCTCACATCAAAAAAAGCCAGATAATGTGAATAACAGAGATGGTGAAATGCCAGGTTTACATGAATAACACAGATATTCTATCTGCAAAAGGTGTTTAATGGAAGTACAGTGGTGACGTTCCTAGAAAGCTGTATCCCAAGAGCTTCCTCTACATTTCCTGGGCAGAGTATGGGTGCTGGGTGATGATAAATCCCTGCCCAGGGGGGATTCGCTGGGCAGAGTGAAGCTGCCTGGAGCTGGGGTGCAAGGCTGCTCGAGTCCTTACAAGTATGCAAGCCCATAGGCCTGATTTCCCAAGGAAATGACCTACAAGTCAGCCTGCCTGCCCTTTTCCTCCTGATTTCTGCTCTGTTTATGATGCCCCTTGATCTGGGTTGAGTTTTCAAACCCGTGAAGCCTACTTTGCTGTGCCTAAGCAGAAGGTGCAATTTCAGTTCAGAGTGGTATAAAACACCAGCTGCTACACCAGCAGGAGAGCCCTCAGGACATGAAAAATCCATGTCTTTTCTCACAGTGGATTTAAAAATTCAAGTTTTAGATATTTCATGAACCTAATAAGTAACTTCCAAAAAGTGCTTTCTTCATATTCTAGAACCACCTGTGGAAATGGAAGGTTGCAAAGAGTGGACAGATAATCTCTGCTCTCACTGGACAGTTAACGTCATGTCTTTGTGTCAGTGTTGAAATGTAGTTGCAGGAAGCAGTTCTGCCATGGAGAAATACACTGGGCAAGAATGGACCAGCTGCCTGGGAAAGAGCTTTGAGAACAATTTCCCCCGTTCTCCTGGCTTTTGCAGTGAAAAAGTCAACTCTGAAGAGCACTTTTTTCCTAAGACTGAACATGCAGTTTGCCCGAGGAAAGATCTAGTCACACAGAATATGGGAGCCTGCTATTTAAATTCCTAGTGCTGCTTGTGCCTCACCTTGTGTCTCTGCTGCCTCGTGTCTAAAAGAGGATGCTGCTGAATTCCTCAGGGAAGAGCTCTGGGACTTTCCGTGGGGAGCTGGGCATGTGAGCTGATGTGCGTCTGCTGTATGGCAGGATGTGCCCAGCTCAGGAGTGCCCAGGGCTCTGTGGATGCAGCACCACTGTCCTGCTGCTGCTCCCCCTGGGAGAGCTCCTGTGTTTCCCCTCTCCCAGATCCCTGCACATGGATGAACTGGGCACCTGGAGCAGGTCTGCTGTGCTTGGGAAAGCCTGAGAGATGCTGCGAGAGGGACACACGCCACAGTGATATGTCTTGTCCTGCCCTGCTGTCTGCTCAGGGGTGTGAGGGGAAAGAAGCCTTTGCTCTGGGACACTGGTGCTTCTGGTTTTAGATCTGGAGCAGGAAAGCTGCAGCCTTCTGGAGGGTTTGGGAACAGGTGCAAGAGCGGACCTGAAGAACAACAGATCAGAAAACATATGGGACAGCCCCAGCACTTAATTACCTTAATTGCTATAGCTTCCAACAAGGGTCTGCATGCTTGCTTAGCATGTTGCTTCCGGAGCAGGCCAGGAGTGATGTCTGTGACAGAGTGCAGCTGCAGTAATGCCATCAGCAGCCCCTTCCTTCCGAAGCCACAGCCCAGACCCCCTCCTGCCTCTGCATCTGGGTCCTCATGCCCAGATGTGCTGCAGGCTTCTCCAGAGAGAGGTGAGGAAGGGGTCTGTAAAGCTGGCGGGCGCTGCTGCAGCCCAGCCCTTTGGCTGGCCTCCCTCCCCTGCGCTGCTGGAGGCTGCTTGCAGCCTCAATGTGAGTTCTGCAGCCTGCAGAATGAATCGTTGGGGTCAGCTCATACATGTAGCCAGCCAGCTCACCTGCATGCTCAATCACATAGTAAAACCACCARATATTTATAGAAAGGCATTGCACCCTGACTGGCGAAAAATAGTAATAATAAGCCCCCCCAATTGCACTTGATAAAGAGCATTTAGCATCTTGTTAAAGTTGTTGAAAGAGCACATTTGGGCTGCAGTCCTCTCCCCAAGATTTCAGACCAAAACCGAGGMCAGGCATGAATCTTAAGTAAACGCTTTAGATGCTCAGGCAACTTTTTTGACTCAAAAGTTACTTCAGATAATCATTATTTTTTTTTTTATTGGAGGTATTTGGGAAATGAAAGGACTCCCTCTTTTCCTTTCATGATACCAAATTGTTAAATAAAGATTTCCTGAAGATGCTGCTGACACCTCAAATGCTCTTGGGTTTCTAAGGTATCCTCTAAGAAAAATAATGTGCCTTTTGTATTCTACACTGAAGTTCAACAGTGGTGTTGCCAGATGCCAACCTCTAAGGAGCAGCTATTTCCATGTCCTAGTGACACATTTCAAACCATCAAAGCCTGAAGCCTCTTTGAAGCTCTGGGACTTGAGACTCAAAGTCCCGTGGCCACAGCTGCTTTGAAAGGTGCGAGTCACTGAGTGAGGAGCCAAGTGTGTGGTACCTCACCTGGGTGCATCTCCTCTGTATCCAGCCAGCCAAGCCAAATGTTTATCTCCCTTGGACTCACCAGGCTGCCCCAAAAGCCAGACAGACACGTAGTGGTGTTGGCAGTCCCTGTAGGAACCTCCTGTGTGCCAGATTCCCCCTCCCTGCAGGGGTCACCTGGGCTTTTTCTTTCTTTCCTCTTATAACCTTGTGTCATCAAAGCACRCACGGTCAGGGGACGTGGAGCCTGAGGGCTTACTAAAATTAGACCTGATCTTTGGTCCTATTTCCAAGGCAGGCTGCCATCTGACATCCTGGCTGCAGCCTGGTTTGCGAGTCCTAAGTGCAGCTATGTTTGTATTTTGGTTTGAAAAGTTCTCCCAAGCTGCTGCCTGCCTCTTGGCACAGATCAGAGAGACTCCTTCAAATACATTTCGACAGAGACGAGCAGCCTGTGCTACACAACCTGGCTGGCAAAGGGGGATCGTAGCAGCAGCACCGAGGCTGTGATTCTGACACAGTCACACCAGGTCTGTTCAGTGCCTGTGTCTCATTACTGGAGCCACACGTTTGCTGCAGGAGATGAGATTCCCAGGTCATTGCAAAAACAGCTAATGAACAAGAGGCTGAGTTCCTATTAGGCTAACGGTGCTCAACCAAATCTCTCATGTTGGATGCGGTGTTTTGGTGGATCTGAATCTTGGTAAAGCTTCCTTCTTCCTATGAGAGTTATTAAGTAACAGTGGCTAAAAAGAAGGAACTATGAACAGGAGSTAAAACTCCAAAGTGTGATCAGGATTGCTGTTTGCAGTGGTTATATGAAATGCCTTAGAGAGGTAAGGAAGAAGAGAAAAAAAATGTGGTTYATGCATTTTCTTAGACTTGAAGAAGGAAATGTTGCTCCTAGCTCTCGTCCCGCTGTGGTTACCCAGATTACCTAACGAGTCATGGAAATCAGTGTCCATCGGCAGTGCTCCTGCTATCCCTGCCTGCATTCGTTTGGCCTGCATTCGTTTGGCACCCCATTTGAAACACCAAAGGCATATGAGCCCTTGTCTGCTCTTTGGACAGGGGGTTTGTTCTAGCTTAGGTCTCCACATCAATCCGGATGGTTGACATTCTCCTCCAGGCCTCTCTTCAACCTACAAAATGGATTTCCAAATGGCTAACCCCAGAATTAGGAGATTTCTAGGCCAGGACCAACACCTTAAACTTTACCTGAAAACAAATTGGCAATTAGGGCTAATGAAAACCCTCCCAGGAAGCTTTGCAAAGCAAGCTTTTATTACAACTCTGTCTATAAAGGTCTACAGCCTCCCATTTAATGAATAAACAGTAGCATTTTTTTTTTCCTCCTAACAAGGTTTCCTTAGAAAGGGAAGTATTGCTGAATCCCGAATCTGCCTGGCATATTCCGGGGACATCTGGCGTAAATTCTTCATTATTAGATTACATTAGTTGCAGCAATAATCATTCACGTGGGATTATTACATCCAAGCTTGTCTCAGGGTCTTTATCCTTTCACACATTGTCTTTCCTGGTTCCCCTTCAAAGGTCTGTTGTGAGTCTGTGTTGGAGCAAGAAATTAACTTGTTAGTAATTTATGCATCATTTCCTCCAGCCACATGTATTTAGGGTAAGATCAATAAAATATAATAAGGAAGCGGGTGGGTATTGTCACTGTGGGGCTGAAGTAATTCCTTTGGTATCACTGTAAATCCTTGCCTTGCATATGAAAACCTGCAGGCCTGTCCATCATTAGCTTCTTTACAAGGCTGCATCAGCAGGACGTTGATTCAGCTCCTTTGTGCACTTGCAGAGTTCATGTCCTGCTACTTCTGCTCACAGTCTCCTAGACATGCACAGCGATCTGAGCCATGGTTTAAGGTTTTGAAACAGAACAGTTGTGCAGGCTTTCGTCCAGGTCCTGAGATACAATTAAGGTTGTGCCTGGCTCCCTGCAGCTGGTTTTCCTCTGGGATGTCCTGGCAGCGGGTACAGATGTGGCAGGGGCTGTGTGGTCCACCTTGGCTTTAGCAGTGCTCGTCTGATGGTGTGAGGGGACTACAGCTATGCAGAGGCCCTGGTTTCTGGACATAGAAATCTCAAAGTGATCAGTTTGCACTCTGGGACCTGCATGTTTTGTTCCCATAAACATGGAGAGATACAGGGAGGGCATGTGGCTGGAAGCCCTTGGAAGYCCGACCTGGCCCCTGGCAGAATATTCTTCGTGCAGCAGGCTGGGCTGGGCAGCACAGAGTGTACGGGACAGGGCGGCGAAGGCAGCGCAATCCTGCCCTCCACAACCCCGATGCTGTTGACAGAGCCTCCAGGGGAGCACGGAGGAGATGAGATCTTGAGATTATCCGCGCAGACAGGGGACAGGAATGTTGTTTGCTTGAAGCTCCTCTCCATCAGCACTGGCAAGCGAGGAAGGAAAATGTAGGCAGATGGTTTGACGGCGCAACAGACGTAAATAGGCATGGGGGTGAAGCCGGAGGGTCCAAATTCAACACAGGAAAAACTGGTCACTGCTCAGGGCAGCCRTCTTGTTTGGAAACCTTGGTGGAGATGAGTGTCTGTACTAGTGACGCTCTGCAGGAATGCGAGTAGCACGTTACCCCTTGCTGCCTGCCCCACCGTCCTCAGAGGCAAAAGCTATTCCTGCTCTGCCTGGAATTTAGGGGGGATGTGGCTAACACAGTCACCACCTTCTTGACAGCAAAGTTTGCTATCAGATAGAGAGTCTGTTTGCTAACAGACAAGAGAGAAAAGGCCAATTGGCAGAGAGAAAGGAAGAGGGAAAAAAGAAAACAGAAGCAAGACGGATAAGTTATGGTCCGCCCTAAGAGTTCAATGGAAGAAAGGTGTCGCAGTCTGGAAGTTGGATGCCCTAGGCACAACCCACGGCTGCTTGTGAGGGGATGACAGCACTTCGCTTGGTTTCCTTCCTTCAAGAGCCAAAGGTAAGAAAGATGTTGCTTCCAGAAGACACTTTCTCAGCTGAGTCTCTTTGGGCTGACTCTGGCGCACCAAGCGTGTCCCACCCCGTGCAGCTGGCCCTCCCCCTCCGCATTGCAACACCTCTGGTTTTCCAAAGAGAGAGGAGCCCAAAGAGCAAACACAGGAAACCCCAGCCCTGGTCAAGGTCTGGGAGGTAAATTTATAACTTAGGACGGGTTGTGAGGATGCTGGTTCATAACAAGTAAACGCTTCTTTCTCTCTGATTCCCTCCTGCTCCAACAGCCCAACACAGCTGGGAGAGCTGATCCCAAAACTCCCTTCATGGTTGAGTCCACTGAAGAGACAGGACGCAGATTGGAGATGCAGCCGGGCATGCAGGTTCCTTATTCCCTGGAGATGGGCTCCTTCCCTCACTTCTGTAAGTCCTTGCCCTCACGCTTGGGAATTGGGCTGGGCTGAGCCTGCAGTTGCTGTAACAGCGGGCTCAGTTCTGCATTGAGGAGCCGCGTGTTGGGGGTGGTGGGAAGCCCTGTGGCCGTCACTGAGCAGCAGGGTTTGCTGGGCTCCCGGGCATGCAACTGCCATAGCAGGAGGTGCCAACCAAGCCATCCCTCTATGGGATTTTTATTCAGTGCAGGCTTTGGAAAGAAATGCTGGTATCGCTGTGCTGCACTCACTCATTACCCTTGGTGTCGTTTATTCTCTTGAGCTTGTTGAGGAGATGTACAGGACTGATGGTGGGCGTGGGGGACGTCCTGTTTACTAGGTACGGAGCCAGGCATGTGTGAGAAGGTCAGTAAGAAGGGTGGTCAGACAGTGAGGGGTCTGGGCTTTCAAAGAAAGTCTGAGCAACTACTGCTGCTTAGTGAGGGAGAGGGTGAGGAGCAGAAGACTTTCAAAATCAAAGAAAACCTGTGTAAACAGAGATGGACTGTGGAGGGGCTCTATAAGAAGCAAGCCATAAAATAGTGAATGTGCATTGCAGGAAGGCTTAGATGAGGCACCCTGGAAATAGCTTTTAACAGGATTGCTGGCACAGATGCCGGGAAGGAGGTCTCCATCATTGAAGGTCTCTGGTCCTGATATGGGACAGACGGATGGGTATGAAGAGCTGACGAGATTCCCTGTTAGATCTGTTTAATGTGAGTCCGTGCTTTTCTATCACGCTGGAGGACAGGGAAAATGTCTGGAGCGCGTTCTAGGGTACTGTGGGATACTGTGCTTGGGTGTGAGATGGCTTCTACTGAAGGAATTCTCTGCATCAGCTCAATAAAGTGTTGCTGGAAGTTGTATGTAAAACTAGCCAGGAATTTGCAGGAGAATAATCCTGTTTTTACACGGTGTTGTGCTTTTCCAAAAAGTGAAATTGTCCCTGGATAAATGTTGATTCTTGTCAGATATATTAAATCTATGCATGTGTACATATATACATGTAGGTATAGGGGAAGAAGGGCAGCAGGAAAGAGGGAGAGAGACTTCCACTGCATAAAAGACAAAATGGTCTAATTCACCTCAGAGCAATTTCCATTTGCTTTGCATTCTGGGCTGACCCTACATGTTTCACTCCCTCCATTGAATGAGAGCTCTTTACCAAATATGTGTAAATCTACCCCAATCAAGAGGAATACGTTTTCTTGCCTTTACATATTTCCAATCACACACAATTTCAAGCAGCAACTGAACTTGCTGCTTTCTTAGTAGAAGTATTTCATGAATCCCTATCAATATCAATCACTTAGCATCACTGGTGCACTGGGAGGTTTTGGACGTGATGTTGCCTTGGGGCTCTCTACACCCTGCAGCACCAGGTTGAACTCTTGGTCACCAGACATTCCCTGGCCAGGTTTGGCCTCTTTCCTGTGTGAGAACAGGGTGATCCTTTATACAATTTGCATTTTTCCTGGATTGCTTCATGCGGCCCAATTTCAACCCCAGCAGCCACTCCCACCATGTTGGAGAGGTGGTTTTGGAAGGAAAGCAGACGTTTCTGCAGTATTCCAAAAACTTAACGCATGTGGACTCTAAAGTGCTCCCAGCATAGCGGGGAGATTTGGTCAAATTCCATCAGTTTTGCAAGATTCCCGGGTTTTTTACTGGAGTAGCTCACTATATCTCTGAAGCTGCAAGCAAGCCTCCGGATGCAGGCAGCTCTTTCCTTCCCAAAGACATTTGCCAGTAAGTGAAAGGACAGAGACCCACGATTGCTCAGAGTCCTAAAAGCTGGTGAGGGTCATGAGCACCACAGGCTTCCACCCCCATGAGTCTTTTCTCATGCCGCAGGATGAAGGAAGGGCCCTGCCTGATGCTCAGSCCCGCTCAGGCTCCAAGCTCCATCCCCAGCCTCGGTTGTCCTGAAACGCTTCACAACAGGTTTAGCACCAGCTAGAGCTGAGTAGGCCCTGCCAGGCAGTCCAGCGCTGCCCCAAACAACTCATGGTTCCTAACAGGTTAATCTGCTCCTTTCTGCACCTGTCAATAAAGCGTGCGTCCTTCCTGTCCTGACTTTTCCCAGTTGACCTTTTTAACCATGGTTGCAGGTTCTGCCTGGTCTTTCCTCTGACAGCTCTGAAGATTCACTCTGAACTTTGCGGCGGTGATGGGTTTGTGGCAGCGATCGGCAACCTTTCGTGGGTACGGAGCCTGCCCGCTTTTCTCTCTCCCAAAGCGGAGCTCACGCATGTCTGAGGAAACTCGCAGAGAGCTGGGAGACGCTGCCTTTCCAAGAGATGAGATGTTCCTTTCTGGACAGCTAGCTTGGAGCTGGCTTTCGTGCGAGGAAGAAACTTCTGCTGCTCTGAAGTCAGGCAGCCAGGAAATCACTGCCGCTCTCTTCAGAGCCTGACCCCTGGCTCCTGCCCGGCCACRTAGCTCTTGGGGCTACTGACTCCTCCTGGAGTTGTACTGCTGTGGCTGCACTCCTGAGTGCCAGGGAAACGGAGTGAAAATAGGAAGGGAAGAATTTCTCAGTGGATGGGTAGCTGGGTGATAGGAGCCCTCTGTTGCGACATGGATGCAGTGTGAACAGCTGGGGCCCATAAATGTTGCTCGTTCCTGCAGAAGACATTTGGGGGTCAGATCTCGGTGCTCTGTCCCCTGTGAGTGTACTGGAGGTGGCTGCAGGGCAGGGATGCCTGGCTGGATGTGTCTCTGTGCAAACAAATCCAACCAGGAGAAGTCCTGATGCTCTGGGGGGCTTTGCAGGGCCGTTAGCTGTAATTTTTTGGCCTAGTTCTTCTCATCAAAGGTGCAGATTCTAATACTGTTCAATAACAGCCTGTTTTGAGGGCCTTAACTGAGGAAGAGAGCATTTTGGGGAGCATTTTGGGGAGCAGGCTGAGCCCTGTGAGGRGTAGCAAAGGGGTTAAAGTTCTGCCGTTCTGCCCAGTCAGCCCAGCTTGCCCATAATAACCAATTAACGGAGCATAATTGTGCAAATCCATATGTGGCAGTAATTGCCAGGGAGATTAATGGATTCCTTCCTTGGCCAGTGTCCCCGCCTCGTCCTTGCCACACATGCAAGGGTGCAGTCGAAAGGGTGCAGGGAAGGGGAAGCGGCGATGCGCCCCGCGCCCCCCGGGCACTGCCGCTGCTGGGGTAAATCACCCTTTCCGTCTCACCGTCGTGCCTTGGCTCACACCCCGCTCCCCAGGACAGGGCGTGCAGCCCATGTCCCTGACCTCCCTTTTGTGCATTTGTGCCCCGCTCCCTTCCCTCCCGCTCTGGCACTAATTGCTGCCCAAAGCACCTCCCTCCACCTCCGCTTTTGTGGCTCTGTTGTTTTAGTTGCGATGGGCAATCCGCAATCCGACAAATTATTAAAGGCAGACGGGCAGCGGAGGGGAGGGTGGCCAGCGTGGCAGGGCACTCCACACTGGGATTTGGAGTGGGTTTCCAAGCCCAGCAGCCCTTGGTTGCCTTTGGAGAACCCTGGATAGCATAGGATGAGGTTCTGCAGGCGGGGAGGCAGGAATGAGACAGGGCAGGCAGAGATCGCATGGCCCAGTGCATCAGACAACCCCAGGTTTTCTCCTCGCTGCCTTCCCTTTGCGTGGTCCTCTCAGCTGCTGCGGTAGCTCCATGGAAGTCCTTGCTGGAGCTCAGCTGGCCAGGCCAGGTCTCACCAGCGGGCTGTGGCTGTGGGACACGGACATGGGAGCTCTGTGGGGAAGCAGGTGCTGCTGTGGAGCTGGCAGGACGGGGAGCTGCTGTGCAGCACCAGGAACAAAGGCTCCCTGGTCTACGTGACGCTTGAAGGAGAATTATATGTATATATTTCTCTTCTCTGCTATGTGTCGGTTGAGATTCAGGCTTAGGGGAGGCCAGAGCTATGGAACTTGGGTGCAAGCATCTGGTGAGTGTAGCAGCAGTGGCTGCAAGGGTCTGTCCTGCAAGCATTGGGTGTTTAAAGGGGATGCAGGAGCAGAGCATGGCCAGCAGCAGCTGCCCCGAGCTGCTCAGCACGTTCCCCTGCTTGGCCACAGGGCTGGGATGCTGCTGGGGCTGTCCCTTGCCTGGGCCTCCTCCATCCAGCTTGGTTCGCAGTCACATCCATGCTGATAGACATAACTGACCTTTTTCTTATTGCGTACGCATTGCAAAGGGCAGGGACGTGGCTGCTCGGAGGTACCGGCTGCACGAGCCTCGCCAGAGGTGCGTGCGGGGCCGGTCTCCAAAGGGAGCCGGAGCTGGAGAGGCTTTGGGGGACACCTGCCTGGAGGAGGTGGGTTGTGTGGATGGACGTGCCCCCATGTTCATCATTGAGGCAGCTGCCATAGCTGTCCTGTAGCGGGGCTCCACCAGTGTCCCCTCTGTCCCAAGCAAGGATAGAGCCTTGGCTGTGACAAACAGGGCCTTCCRGATTGATGGAGACCCATATCGTTTGGCATCAGCTGAGGATCTTGCTTTCTTTGTCTGTTTTCTATTTCACCTGGACTGGTTCATCAGTACCCATCTCGGCACTTTGTCACCATAGGTTAAAGAGTATGTGAGCCAAAGCACAGCAAGGAAATGGGTCTCCTTGGCACCTTGAGGTACGTCAAGCATCTACAGGCACAAGTCTCTGGAGAGAAGCCTTCCTAGACAAGCTTCCCACCTGGTTCACGTGCCCAAGAGCATTCTGAGAGAGACTCAGTGCACTGAGATGTGTCTTACATGATTTCTGGGATGATTAAAGTGCTGCGGTCTCTGCAGCCCTGGATTTTAGGCTGCAGAGTTGCAGAATTTAGTGTGTAGATGCAATTGCAAAGCCAGGTATTTATTAATAAAAGCAGMTAGGGATGGAGCTACAGCTACAGCTCCAACCAAGAGCTGATTGTGAAGTGAACCTGCTGGATGGCAGTGAGCTGGGTCTGTTAAATCTCCTCTTTCAGAAGTCAAACCCCATCCTAACCAGTGTCCTCTCTGGCTGCCAGCCCAGTG